TGTTATTTTTCTTCTTTCAGTACAACATTCGTCAAACTGCTCTAAAATTGACTGCCAACAGTATGTACGGTTGCTTAGGCTTTTCCTTCTCAAGATTTTATGCTAAACCCCTAGCTGCTCTGGTTACAGGTATGGTCTTATGTGAATCAATATATGAAGCACTCCTAGTTATGTAACTTTTTTGTGATCTTTTCTTTTTCTATTGGCCATTTAAATTTTTAAATCTTACTTTTACAGCTAAAGGCCGTGAAATTTTAATCAGCACAAAAGATCTTGTTCAGAAATTGAACTATGAAGTTATTTATGGTGATACAGATTCTATTATGATTAACACTAATTGCTTAGATTATGGAGAAGTTTTCAAAATTGGACACAAGGTGAAACTTCTGTCAACACTGTTAATTTTTTAAAAGTCTTTTGGAATCTTAAAAATTATATTATTTCTAATCTAACAGATCAAAGCTGAGGTGAATAAACTGTACCGCCAAGTGGAACTTGATGTGGATGGTGTCTTCAAATATATGTTGTTGTTGAAAAAGAAGAAGTATGCTGCTGTCACAATGAGTCAGTTACCTAGTGGAGAGTTCATTACTTCTCAAGAGCTTAAAGGCTTGGACATTGTTCGCAGAGATTGGTCTCAGATTTCAGCAGAAGCAGGAAAGTATGTGTTGTAGTTAGTTTTTTCACGATTTTTTTAATGGCAATTTTGGCACTAATATATGTACTAATATATTTTGGTTTCTGATAGGTTCATACTATCTCAAATTTTGTCTGATATGCCTCAAGATGACAGAATAGAGGCTATTCATGCCCACTTAGTAAAGTTAAGGGAAGATCTAGAAGAGGGAAAAGTTCCTATGCAACTTCTAGCCATCACTAAACAGCTCACAAAAAACCCTGAAGAATATGTTGATCACAAAAATCAACCCCATGTACTTGTAGCAATGCGCCTCAACTCTCGTGGGGGCAAGCGTATTCGAAGTGGTGATACAGTCGCCTATGTGATCTGTGATGTAAGTTCTTCAATGTGTAAAAAAATTATTTGGTGATTTCTTATGTACGTTTTATTTAAGTTTTCTATGCTTGCAGGATGGCTCAAATTTAAGTGCCATGCAACGAGCGTACCATGTTGATGAATTGAAGACAAATAAGTCACTGAAAGTTGATGTCAAGTATTATTTAGCTCAGCAGATCCATCCAGTAGTTTCAAGACTGTGTGACCCTATTGATGGTACAGATGCAGCTCGTATTGCAGAGTGCCTTGGTTTAGATCCTACGTCATATCGGCGCCAAATGCAAAGAGCAGAAGAAAATGAAGAATTGGGTCTTGGCGAGAAGTCTGTTCTAGATGCTCAAGAACGTTTTAGAGACTGTGACAAGTTCAAATTTAAGTGTAGAAAGTGTGCTAAAGAAATTGTCATTGATTCCCCGTACAGAAAAACTGTAAGTTTTCCATGCACAGTTGTCCTCACCTCATATTGTAATAGGATGTATACTGTAATTGATTTTTTTTTTTTAATTTCCTTTTTTGACAGGAGACTAGTGAATATGAACT